TAATTCAAGGACAAGGAGGGTCTAGACGTATACGGAATGTTGAAGGAAGGAATAGGGTTCAAGGACTACCTACATGGACCAATGGATGCAGGAACAAAGCTTAAGGTCAAATTCAGGACCGGGGACATAGGCCTTCGAGAACGTCGACGAAGACATAGGACGGTAGACGAGGAAGACGACGAGTTCAAATGTGATTGCGGCTTCGAATGCGAAGACCGTGTTCATGTAGTCGCGGAATGTCCGTTGTACAAGAAGGAGAGGGAAGTGTACGTGACTGAGCTGGGAAAAATAGATGGAACGTACAGGGAGATGTTTGAGGCATGGAATAGAGAGGAAAGGACGGTAGCTGTAGTGGGGCATAGGAGGTGGGTTGAAAAGGCGGGAAGGGATATCGTTAGGATAGACAGACTAGGGAAGACATTTTTGAGCCACCTTTGGCAAAGTAGAAAGGAACGATTGGCCATCGGTGATCGGTCCTGTGGGAACAATGCTCCGTCCTCTCGAGGACGCGTGGTCAATGGTCTAACCGCTAAGACATGCAAAACATGAGAGTACGCCCCCCCTCCTCTCCGCCGTTGCCTCCCGTGATTGTTTATCGTGTCTGGGCATCATCAGGTTCCTGCGGTGGGGTTCACCCTGTTTTGGGTGGCAAGAAATCAGAGCTCGGTGATGGGGGAGAACCGGCTGATGCACCTCATCTTGCTCATCGAGCTCGCCATGCCGTCAGCGGCGGTGAGGGGCTCCTTATTCTTGTGTCATTTGTGACTGTGACCGTCTGGCTTAGAGTCTAAGTATGGCATACGCTTTAAATAGTCTGAACCGGGTACACGCAACGCTGTGTGTCCGATAAATCCCTCCTGTTGCTTTTGTTAGGCAGGGTCTACCCCTACATACTGCACACACCAGGAAGAATCTGCTAGAGTAGTGCTTTTTGCAAGGAAAGTCATGTACCGTCACCAAATACACGTCGCCCACATGCCCGACCCGACCAAGCGTCGACCCCGTTTCCATATTTCCACCACCATCCCTACACTTTCCAGTTGACCTCTAGCGAACGAACTGTTGGTGTGCGATCGTTCGTGGTTCTTCTCGCAGTTCGTGATCGTGTCCCTGAACCAGCTACGGATGCCGGCGACCGCAGGCTTCATGGCCCGGCTGTACCTGTGGCAGTACGGGGCTTCGATGCTTACCATCACTGCGTGGACGGCGTTGGCCGTACACCTCGTGTACTGAAGAAAGGGTCGCGCACTGTAGCCTAAAGTCGTGTTGTTCAAGTGTCGTCCCACAAAACTTTGCTGTAGCTGGGTTGGCGGTCATTGGGACCAATTCCTGGTGGGGTAGATGGGGAGCATGGAGATATCGAAGCGTATCTGTAGTTTAACTCGTCCGTCGTTTGGTGGGCAATCTCGCTCGCAATCCACGGGACAACGCTCGCGGGTTTTGATGTTTTGTTTGTCTCCCGGACACGAACGCTGGCCCTCTGTTTCCCGTTGTACAGTAGTGGGTACGTGGTAGTTTCCCCGTTTAGAAAAGGGTTGTCCATCCGCGTTTTTGATGTACTTGATTTCTTCCGTGCGTGCAGGCTGATGGTACGTGACTTTCGTGGGTATGGGTTCTACTTGCACACGGTGCTATGTGCAACGCACAACTATGGGCGATGTCGTATGAATGAAAAAGGCTGGCGCAGAAGCCGACCACAGTATAACACAACATGTGTGCTTTCACCAGACTATGCCCTCTCGTCTACCCGTCTGTATCATCGCACGCTCCCCCGCCAGCAGAGGTACAAGGGACGTAGCATGCTGGCTGCTCCCTGGCTTGGTGCCCAAGCGTCTTGTGAAAATGCAGCCGTCGCCGGCCATACGGTTGTGCGCAGAGAGCGGTCATTGGCAGAAGAAGCGCATGCCAAGGATCCACACGCATCAGCGTGGGCGAACGCAGCCTCTGGGAATGCAAGAGCGCGCGAACTCACAAAATCATGCGCGGCAACCACCTAACTTTGCGCACAATCCGTCGACAGTGACCAACAGGAAAGCTCTTGGCAGATATTGGATACAGGGGATGAATCTTTCGGAATACCGTCTTTGCCATGCGGACCAAAAACCACAACGGAATCCTCGTGGGGATGCATCGGCAACACGCCCGCGCCCACGCCAGTTCATGATGCCGATATTCATCCACGGCCGCCCCGGGGCAGGGCGCCTACTCCGGCTCGATCGACTAGCAAACGATGCCCCGGCAGACTCCTACCCAGCCCTGCGATGATCTGCCCTGCAATGATCAACCAACTGCACCGGGACAAAGGCTGCAAGGACAGTCGCCAAGCCACACTCGCCAACGCTAACAGCCTCTTGCGAATTTCACACACCCTACTCCCGAACGTACACACTAAAATTACAAGTGCGTGGGAACGACCTCTCGATAACAGACGGCCAAATACATGCCGTACGGGAGAACTCAAGTACGATATCATATGTACCCTTTCGGGACACCCTCCAAAGCACTTGACATCATTTGCCGAATACGAGCAAACACCACCAAGCTTCTCTCCCAAAAATGTTTTTTCTACTTGCGAGCAGTCTCGTAGTTCTCGCAGAACCAGTCGCACGCCTGTGTACGGCAACGTGAGCGGTGTGTCGAGGGCATAGCATGGGACTGAAGGCAGCGTTTGTCGGCGACATCAACGGAAGGTGATCGTGCGCGATGCATCTCAAACAGTTGTAGCCTACCTTACGTGAGTGTGTTCTGTGTGCTTTTTTCGTCCCGTCCATAGAAAGGAACGATTGGCCATCGGTGATCGGTCCTGTGGGAACAATGCTCCGTCCTCTCGAGGACGCGTGGTCAATGGTCTAACCGCTAAGGCATGCAAAACATAAGAGTACGCCCCCCCCCCCCCCC